GATCTTTGCCGCAGAAGCTGAAGAAGAGGACACTTGTTATCCGCTCTGTCTCTCATTGTAGAATTCAGCGTGGTAGTCCATTCCAATCCCCTACTTTACCAGAAACCTTTTTCATTGGCATGACACACCATTTGTCCAAATGTTAATGCATTAAAGCCAGGGACGGGGGCAGTTCATTCGCTTGGCTCTTCTTTTTTTGAGATTGAGTCCAGGCTGGAGTGTGGCGGTGCGATCTCAGCTTGCTGCAACCTTTGCTTCTTGGGTTCAAGCAATTTTCCTGCCTCAGCCTCCTGGGTAGCTAGCATTACAGGCGCCTACCACTACACCCAGCTAATTTTTGTGTTTTTAGTAGAGACAGGGTTTCACCATGTTGGCCAGGCTGGTCTCAAACTCCTGACCTCAAATGATCCACCCACCTTGGCCTCTCAAAGTGCTGGAACTGCAGGCATGAGCCACTGCATCCAGCTAGTTGGCTTTTGGTGTATTAAGTGTTCTCTTGGTATCTTGGCATCCCTGAGCATATTACTGACTCTCCCCTGCAGGCAGTAATCCCAACTATAAAGTAAGAGGTAAAACTCCATGTAATCTATGAGGTCTGTGGTCAGAACCTGTGGCTCTAATTGTCCAAGTAAACAGCAGTCTCAAAATTCAATGGAGAGAGAGTTGGATTTTAAAAAGATAGAAGTTGGATGTGGTGGTGCGCACCTGTAGTTCCCGCTGCTTTGGAGACTGAGGCGGGAGGATTGCTTGAGCCCAGGAGTTTGAGGTTATAGTGAGTTATGATCGTGCCACTGCACTCCAGCCTCTGCAACAGAGGGAGACCCTGTCTCTTAAAAAAATTTAATTTGATGGCTCAAGCCTGTAATCCCAGCACTTTGGGAGGCCGAGGTGGGTGGATCACAAGGTCGAGAGATCGAGACCAACCTGGTCAACATGGTGAAACCCCGTCTCTACTAAAAATACAAAACACTAGCTGGGCATGTGGCGCGTGCCTATAATCCCAGCTACTCAGGAGGCTGAGGCAGGAGAATTGCCTGAACCCAGGAGGCGGAGGTTGCGGTGAGCCTAGATCGTGCCATTGCACTCCAGCCTGGGTAACAAGAGCGAAACTCCGTCTCAAAAAAAAAAAATTAATTTGAAAAAGTAGGGAAAAAAATAAAAAGATGGAGACCTCAGTTTGCATGGAGTCTGTAAAGGGGTATGCTAGAAATCTTTCCCGTTGACTCTAATTTAAAATTGTTGAGATCTAGATGAATACATTAATTCATCATGGAAATGACACCAGGAAGAATCTGGTTCCTCATTGAAAAGGAAAGATGTGTGTCCCCTGTTCAGGCCATCTCGGTGGGGCCCCAGGGAGGGGCTGGCTGCTCTACCTTTTGATGTTTTTATTTTCCTTTGCTTTGTCGTGGAGGTAACCAGGGTATTGTGTGTGTCTGAATTGCTGCAAGGAGGATGGTTTGGTTTCTGGCACTGTGGGAAGCCAGAAAAAGGACCAAAATAAAACAAAAGTTTTTAAAAGAAATGGAAAAGAAAATACTCCGCATGTAGCCGGCAAATTCAGTCTGCTTATGCAATTTCTACCTTAGGTTCTGACTCAGTCTTTCTTCTTCAGCCAGCACGGGTCAGCCAGAAGGTGACATTGAGACTCCAGGTACAGAAGGCAGTGTTGTGATGCCAGGTGCCGAAGATGATGTGGTGACTCCAGGAGCTGGCGAAGACCTCTCTGTGGCTGGCTTGACAACTCCGGTCAGTGTCCTGGGAGGAGAGGAATGTTTTCCATAGGCATGTGATCAAATTGCAAGGTTATGATGTATATTGATTTATAGATAAATATGTCTATATATAAAATCGACATTTACTCTTGTTACATACCTGCCATAGACAAGACAGGATGCCAAGCGTTGGGAGGGGTTGAGGAGGTCAGTGAGCCACTTCCTCCACCCTTGAGGCAAGCTATGATTTCTCTGGTAACAGAACAGAGGTTCCTGCCTGCCTGTCTGACGTGTACTTCACTTTCTCTATGTCTGCCGTCTTGGACTTTCTGACCTTTGAACACACCAAGCTTGTTCCAACTTAGGTTTTTGTTTTCTCTGCCTAGAACACTGCCCAGATCTTTCCATGGCTGACTTTTTCTTATAATTCTCAAGTTTGAAGCCATCTCAAACAGCCTAAAGTAATCTCACCCTCACCTCCATCAGAAGTCACCCTCTGGCCCTGAGAGGTCAGCGAACTACCCACCAGATGGCCCACCCACTGTGTTTGTACGTGAAGTTTCGTTGGAGCACACCAATGCCCATTCAGTTGAGAATTCTCCGGCTGCTTTCCAGCTGGAAGAGTGGAGTTGATTAGTTAGAACAGAGACTGTGTGGCCTGTACAGCTGAAATACTTACTCATCTGGCCCTTTACTGAAAGTTTTCCAGAGGCTAGTCCAGTCTAGTCTAGACAAGGCTAGTGTATATTTCCTCCAAAGCACTCAAAACCACGTCAAAATACCTTTTGTAGTTGTTTACCTGCTAAATGTTCACATTCTGCTACCCCATCCCAGATGCCAGCTTCAAGAGAACAGAGAATTTGTATTACTCACATTATAGTCCCAGGGCTTGGAACCATGCTGGGCTCATAGGAGGTACTCATTAGCATATGTTTTTTATTGTGGTAAAGAAAAAACAAACATAAACTTTATCATTGCAACCATTTTGAAGTGTGCAGTTTGGTACTGTTAAGTATATTCACATCATTAATCTCCAGGACTTTTCATCCTGTAAAACTGAAACTCTACGCAAGAAACAATAACTCCTCATCCTTCCCTTCCCCCAGCCCCTGGCCGCCAGTCTTCTACTTTAGAATTTGACTCCTCTAGGTACCTTATGTAAGTGGAATCATATAGTACTTTTCTTTTGTGACTGGTTTATTTAACTTAGCATAATGTCCTTGAGGTTCATCCATCCTATAACGTGTGTCAGAATGCTCTTCCTTTTTTTTTTTTTTTGAGACAGAGTCTCACTCCATCACCAGGTGCCAGGCTGGAGTGCAGTGGTGCGACCTCGGCTCACCGCAACCTCCACCTCCTGGGTTCAAGCAATTCTCCTGTTTCAGCCTCCCGAGTAGCTGGGACTACAGGTGCGCGCCACCATGCCCAGCCAAGTTTTTCTGTATTTTTAGTAGAGACGGGGTTTCGCCATGTTGGTCAGGATGGTCTTGATCTCTTGACCTCATGATCCACCCGCCTCGGCCTCCCAAAGTGCTGGGATTACAGGCGTGAGCCACTGCGCCCAGCCTTGCTCTTCCTTTTTAAAGCTGAGTAATGTTCCGTTGCATGTATAGACCGTATTGTTTATCCATTCTTCTGCCTGCAGGCAGTTGGGTTGCGTCCACTTTTTGGCTCTTGTGAATAATGCTGCTGTGAACACGTGTGTACAGCTGTCTCTTCAAGATCTCATTGTTTCTGTTCGTCTTCTTTCCACTTGCAGCGTATGCCATCATGTGCTCCATATTCTGATGCCACCTGAAATCCTTTTCTTTTATAAGGCAGAGTATATATTTTAAGACAGTTAGGCTTTGTTTCCTATTTTTCCTCATTCACACCCACAATAGGTGGCAACGAGTGTCAAGAGTGTGACCGACCTTGGCCCCGAGGATCTGCCGACTCCAGAAAGCACAGCACACCCCAAAGAAGGAAGTCCGAGCACCACAACCTCAAACGTGGCAACCAGTCACTCCAGGGGTAAGAAAACCAGTCACCTCCATGGAAGCTGATCTACTTTTGCAGAATCAGTACATTCCAAAGTCCGTGAACAAATGTAATAATCAACAGGGCGCGTGTTGGGATGCAAGAGTGACTGCTGAACCAAGCCTTGTCTGATAGGTTCAGAATTGGATTTGAGTTGATGCGGTTGGTTTAGTGGGTTGCTGAACGTATCTCTCTACCTGAAGTAGTTACTGATAACACCTGCACAGGGTGAGTTAAGTAGCTACTGTTGCATGGCGGACCCCAGGCTGATAGAATGTGACATGGAGAACTTTGTGTGGACACCCAAGGGTGCAACACTCAGCCATCGTCTGTAAATCTTAATAGATTTATAGATAGATAAATAGAGAAATCTTCACTTTTCCTCCATCTGCAAACTAGTAAGTAGCCATCATCCAGAGGAGTTAAGGACTCGTTATATAAAGAGGTCAAAGAGAAAAACAAAACATTGTTATTTTAAGATAGGTCATTGCATAAAATTATTCAAAAGAAACTCACAATGACAAATATTCACACTGTAACTACTAGACTAGGTTTGACTGCAGATAGAAAACTTAAAATAACGGTGTCATGAATTCAAAGGATGTATTCGCTCATGAACCTTAGCTGGGACTATTTTTGCCTTGTAAAAATCTGGATTTTGCTACCAAAGAAGCCCCAGGAAATAGATATTGAGACTAATCAGAGTCTTGGTTACATGTTCCCAAACTAGAATATTAACTCAAAAATGAGTAATAGACCTCTTCACATTCTGGAGATCTTGACATTTACTTACTTTTACATGGCAGTTGTCCAGTAAGTACCCTATAAGAATACTTAGCACCTTCCATTGAGTTCACGTCTGTTTACATGGTGCAAGAATCTGTTCTAAACCCATGTGGCCAGGATTTGGGTTGTACTGGTGACTCACAGCGGGCAGCTGCAGCCGTATGAGTGAAACACCTTGGAGAAAAGCTCTGGAGGAGTTTTTCGAGTCTTTGCTATTACTCTGTCTAGACCGTCATTGATGAGAATGAGGAAAAATGATTGTCAATTTAAGAAATAGAGATCACTTCCTATTTCTAGATATGTCTTGAGAAATTCAGTTGTTTGGGGTTTTAAAAAACGCCTTATTTTATAGTGGATAAGGTGGAAGAGAAAATGAAGTAATCCTCTGAAAACCTCAGTGAGTGCTAGCTAACTTGAGAAATTTTATGTAAATTGTTTTGTCTAGATAGGTCTTACATATAAATATCACGTCTAAACCAATGGTTTCCCAAACCAGTTGCACATCTGAATACCTAGAAAGTTCTTCTTGGCCAGGCATGGTGGCTCACACCTATAATCACAGCACTTTGGGAGGCCAAGGCAGGCGGATTACCTAAGGTCAGAAGTTCAAGACCAGCCTGACCAACATAGTGAAACCCTGTTTCTACTGAAAACACAAAAAAATTAGCTGGGTGTGGTGGCGCATGCCTGTAATCGCAGCTACTCTAGAGGCTGAGGCAGGAAAATTTCTTGATCCCAGGAGGCAGAGTTTGCAGTGAGCCGAGATTGCACCATTGCACTCCAGCTTGGGTAACAAAAGCGAAACTCCATCTCAAAAAAAAAAGAAAAAAGAAAGCTCTTCTTTATTGTCCCTTTGACATTTCCAGGATTAATCACCAATCTCGTTTTAAAAACTATGGTACTTTTTAGGATTAAAAAAAAAAAACGCTTTGTTTTTGTATTCCCATGTTTATAGCAGCATTATTCACAATAGCTAAAATATAGAAACAACTCAAGTAGCCGTGGAGAGGTGGATAGATAAGCAAAATGTGGTGTATTTGATGGAATATTATTCAGCCTTGAAAAGGAAGAAAATGCAGACACGAAATACAACATGGAAGAACCTTGAGGACATTATTCAAAGTGAAATAAACCAGTAGAAAAGAAATACCGTATGTCACCACTTATATGAGGTCCCTGGAATAGTCAGATTCGTGGAGACATAAAGTAGAGTGGTGGTCGCCAGGGGCTGGGGAAACTGTTGAGTGGGTAGAGTTCCAGTTTTGCAAGATGTAAAGGGTTCAGGAGGTGGATGATGGTGATGATTGCACAACAATATGAATGTACTTAATACCACTGAACAGTATATTTAAAAGTGGTGAATTTAGTACATTTTGTGCTGTATGTGTTCTGCTACAGTGTAGGGGAAAAAAACCTTATAAAGGGCTTTGAGGCCAGGCGTGGTGGCTCATGCCTGTAACCCCAACACTTTGGGAGGTCGAGGTGGGCACATCATGAGGTCAGGAGTTCTAGACCAGCCTGGCCAACATGGTGAAACCCCATCTCTACTAAAAATACAAAAATTAGCCGGGTATGATGGCGGGTACCTGTGATCTTAGCTACCCAGGAGGCTGAGGCAGGAGAATTGCTTGAACCTGAGAGGCAGAGGTTGCAGTGAGCCAAGATCGTGCCATTGAGCTCCAGCCTGGGCAACAGAGCTCTGTCTCAAAAGAGTGGGGGGCGCTTTGAGATAAAACCTGAACCTCACTCCAAGCTGTTAAAGAAGTGATTAACATTTAAACACCAGAGAAAGCCAAGTTGAGCTAAGCAAAGAAAGAATAATCAATATAAGTGATCATTGGAACACTTTTTAAAATTTTGGAGGATCGCTCATTTGTAACATGGGTTGACAGCTAATTAGCAGCAGAAAATTGTGCTGTCCATGTTGAATATTCTATCATACTTCATACCTCTCTTCTACTCCTTTAAAAAAAAATTATCAGTTGCCTGTCCCCTGCCCTACCCTGTCACAAATTTCCCCACCCTGTCACAAAAATTGTGACTTAGGACACATTCCTACTTAATAACTCATTATCCCAAGACATTTTCGCATATGAGCCAAAATGTCATTCATTAGTAGCACTCAATTTTCAAGGGGTAATTTTATTAGGGCAGCAGATGTTCATTTCTGCTGTGAAACACCCAAATACGATGATGTGCATGTTGTGTATGACACATGCTCAGGATCACAGTCAGTGTCATTGGGCGGGGGATGGGAAATATGAGACTAATAAGCTCTGATGTAATAACAAATCCTCCATAAACTTTATTTTCAGTCGTACAATTTTCAGCCAATGGTGTCTTTGATAACGGTATATGAAGAGCCTGGGATCAGCACCCATGTGGTGGGATGTGCTAAGCAACACGATTCACTTATCTCTGCTGGCAGTTGACTTCTAGCGGTGACATTTGGGGAGTTGATTTGATGCCACCTTTGTTCTGGGAAAGCCCAAACCCAGCCGTGTCCTATATGGTGAGGTACCACAGTCAGCATGAGCTCTTATGTGCTCTATACCCATGGACTCAGCTCATCCGGGGAGAGCTGGCTTCTGGGACCTGTACCCTGGGGCCATCTTGAGGAGGCACCGTTTGTTGAGGAGAGCCTTGGTCCAAAAGGGATGGTTTTCAAACCAACCATTAGGAAAAGGAGGCATCTTTTACATGATGGTTGTCTAGTTTTACCATTGATTAGGAAAGCTACTGGCTACCTGGGGTGTTTTGCAAGCTGTGAACTAAGATTTTAGGGCAGGGCTTGACTGATAGATTAACTTCTCTCCAATTGCTTTTTAAATCAAGGCATCTTGACTTTTCCTCCATCTGCAAACTAGTAAATAGCCACCACCCAGAGGAGTTAAGGACTCGTTATATGAAGAAGTCAAAGAGAAAAACAAAACATTTTTATTTTTAAATAGGTTATGGCAGAAAATTGTTCAAAAGAAACTCACAAGGATGAATATTCACACTGTAACTATTAGACTAGGTTTGATTGCAGATAGAAGTCCTAAAATAACAGTGTCATGAACAAAAAGGGTATATTTGCTCATGAACCTTAGCTGGGCCTATTGTTGCCTTGTAAAAATCTGAATTTTGCTACCAAAGAAGCCCCAGGAAATAGATATTGAGACTAATCAGAGTCTTGGTCACATCTTCCCAATCTAGAGTATTAATCTCAAAATGAGTAATAGACCTCTTCACAGTCTGTCCCTTCTCTGTGATCCTAACATTAGAATAAGAATCCCCAGCTCTGGATTCTTCTGCTGCCTTAACCTCTGATACTTCTTGACCATTTATTTAAGATCTTTGTGGCTCAGTTTCCTTTATTCTGCTTTCTAGATTCTACGAGAAAGAATTAATAAATAGAAAATTGCTATGAACCCATTGGTGTGAATAAGGATTCATAAGTTAGATAATAATAGTTTATAAAGATGGTGTCACATTAAGGCTTGCTTAAAAATCCCTGATCCAATTTATTTAAGAAGTCATCCTCTTGATTTATATTTTGCTACTTTCTACTTGGGTAAATTCATCTTTTGCGAGTTGTTAACTTATTAAACCCTAATAATTCTACATTAATGTATCTTTTTCTTTACAGAGAAAGTGGATGAAGAGACACAGATAACAGTTGACAAAGGTAGGCTAGATTTTTGGCATTAAAATACTCCTACATACTTGAGTTTTTACAAATTTTCTTTGAAGCTAATTTTTGAGATGAATTACATTCTGTTTTGGATTACAGTCAATGAGAACAGAATAGAAAACCTTTTGAGAACAGATTTCAAGGTTTTTTTGTTTGTTTGTTTGTTTGTTTGTTTGTTTGTTTTAAGAAAAGGGAATTCCCTGTATTTGAAAATAAGCAAATCCCAGATGGGGACCATTCCCTTCATGACAGATATGGGGAATGGTATCATAGCTCAGTTTATTGTTACTAAGAATGAAAATAGGGGCCAATTTAATAGCCCTGTGCAAATACTACCCAAAAATTAACAGTGAAGGCGATGTGAGCATTATGTTGGTAGAGTCTCAGACCCAGAAATCTTCCCACTCGTAAAATAGGATTAGACTAACCACATTTTCTTCTTTGGAAGAGACGCAAACACTACCCAAAAATTAACAGTGAAGGCCATGTGAGCATTAAGTTGGTAGATCCTTAGGTCCTGAAATCTTCCTGTTACTAAAATAGGATTAGACTAGCCCACATTCTCTCCTTTTGGAAGAAATGCTCTGTGCTCAACCAACGTGAGCATTATTTGCTACGTACAGTAGGGCAGCAGCTTTGTTTATATATTACATATTTTATCACCGGCATATTTTTTATCTGGGACTCATGCTTTTTTTTCCTCTCTCTTATTCAGATGGTTTGGCAACAGTGACCCTGGTTGGAATTATAGTTGGGGTCTTACTAGCCATTGGCTTCATTGGTGGAATCATCGTGGTGGTTATGCGAAAAATGTCGGGAAGGTATTCGTAAGTAAATAATTTACGCCCATGTGATAGGTAAATGAAGGCTATCATATCTAGAGCTCAAACCTTTGAACTAATGGAAATTTCTAATATTAGCTGGGTGTGGCGGCTCATGCCTGTAGTCTCAGCCACTGGGTATGTGTAGACCAGCCAGGGCAACATAGTAAGACCCTGTCTCAAAAAAATGATCTTTTGTATAATGGTCATGTTCAAAAGTTCCTTACTTGGGGCTCTGAGTGCGGTGGCTCACACCTGGAATCCCCGTGCTTTGAGAGGTTGAGGCAGGAGGATCACTTGTGCCAGGAGTTTGATGCTACAGTGAGCTATGATTGTGCCACTGCACTCCAGCCTGGGTGACAGAGCAAGACTCTGTCTCTTAAAAATAAGAAAAAGCAGCCGGCACGGTGGCTCATGCCTGTGTAATCTCAGCACTTTGGGAGGCTGAGGTGGGCAGATCACGAGGTCAGGAGATCAAGATCATCCTGGCTAACATGGTGAAACCCCATCTCTACTAAAAATATAAAAATTAGCCATGCGTGGTGGTGGGTGCCTGTAGTCCCAGCTACTAGGAGGCTGAGGTAGGAGAATCACTTGAACCAGGGAGGCAGAGGTTGCAGTGAGCTGAGATTGCACCATTGCACTCCAGCCTGATGACAGAGTGAAACTGTCTCTGAAAAAAAAAAGCCTCTTAATCTTCCAAAGGACTACATCTGAAGATTCCCCAGAAGAACAAATCTCTACTTAGGCCTTATAAATTTCCAAAAGAAGAGAGTCAGAGCCAGAGATGGCTTGTAAGTTGACTTCTGTTGAGATCTGACCACTTTTGATCTCATCTTAATTTTCCAACTAACTGAACTTGAAAGAAAACCCAAACCAAGTTTTAACGTGATACCTAATGAGCCTGCCCTCAACCATCAGAGATAGGTGGCTTCTAGAAAACCATTTGTCACAGAGCTAGCAGCCCATTCTGATGAGGATTTCCACTGAAGATGGGGTCTTTTTCTTTTCTTTTTTTTTTTTGAGACAGAGTTTCAGTCTTGTTGCCCAGGCTGGAGTGCAGTGGCACCATCTCAGCTCACCGCAACCTCCGCCTCCTGGGTTAAAGCGATTCTCCTGCTTCAGCCTCCCAAGTATCTGGGATCGCAGGCATGTGCCACCACCCCTGGCTAATTTGTGTATTTAGTAGAGACGGACTTGCTCCATGTCAGTCAGGCTGGTCTTGAACTCCTGACCTCAGGTGATCCATCCGCCTTGGCCTCCCAAAGTGCTGGGATTACAGGTGTGAGCCACCGCGCCCGGCCGGGTGGGGTCTTTTTCGTTGAGTTCTCTTACTCTTGACCTTTGACTACTGATGAAGGGAAGGAGTTTTTTTCCTTATTAAACTTCCTTAAGAATTCAGAACATCCACACTCATGGCCAGAGAAAACCTTTTTCTTGTATGTGATGGGGGGATGACACATGATGGAGCGACGGGGAGAGGACAGTTGATACACACGTGGAAGGCTGAGGGATACAGTTGACAACATGGCTGTGGACTTAGCATGTTGGGAAAAGCCAGGGAGTCTGACCCTTCTGTGTCAGGATGAAGGCATGGAGGAGGAATACTGGGGACAAGAGATGATCACCAGGTGTCAGAACTTGGAAGACTTAGAGCAAAGGACAAGAGGGACAAGGACTCACCGGGTGACTATTCACAATGCCAGTAAGAGACATGACGGCCAACTTTCTCTTTATTTTCACAGGCCCTAAAGAGCTGAAGGGTTACGCCCTGCTGCCAACACACTGAAAAAAGACTGTTTCTGTTCCTCTGCGCCCTGTCCCTGACCTTGTGGGAGAAGATGATCCGTGGAACCCTTGCCCACCCCATTCAGAATCCATGGTGATCTCTCTGCTTGCCAAAGTAACCGAAGGAAAGGCGGTTCACCAGGCCTGGCTCCTCTAAATATTTGTCTTTCAAACATGTTTTTGAATCTACATTCTATAAAAGATGATTTGAAAGACAAAATTCAGAGAAAATGGAGCAAAACGGTATAAACTGCTTTGTAACTGAGACTGGACCATTGGATCAATGTTAGATGCTGTAATCATGTGTCTCCGTCTGACCGTTCTCTGTTATTGTTAAAATGCAAAGGAATCTGGAAATATTTATAACGACGGAGTCCTTGGATCCAGTGCCATGTCAGTAAATAGCACCAGCCGTTTGCAGTTGCTGATGTGTTGAAACGTATGCATTCCGGTCTAGTTTGGCCTATCTTTTAAAGCCTGATGTATACCACATGATCAAGTAGAAAATCTCAACTTGGATAATGCGCGATAAGCAACTGGCTTTAGCTGGTCCAGATTAATCATTTCAAAGACATCCATCTTAGAACACAAGCAGGAAGTCTGTAGTCTCAAAGTAGGCCACGGGCAGCCTCTAGACTTGGCTTTACCTAAGTCCTTCTCCAGCCATGACTTGGTGACTCCCAGGCTTGCCCCCTCCACTTCCCTTGGATGATGGGGAGCCAGGGCTAAGGGGGCAGGCTTCCCTCCTCCCAGTGATGCGTATCCTTTGGATTGGCTGCTTTATTCCAAGATATGGATATCTCAGCCTGGACCCTGAGGAAGCCACTGGATGTTTGATGGTGCTAGAGGCTCAAGCGTTTTCAAAACCAAGAGCCCCCATGCAGAACGAAATCCTATGTGAGCCTCTGGTATGAGAAATAAAACCTGCCACTTTTATTACATTCGCTTGCTGCCTCAGAGGAAAGATACGGGGAACAAAAATCATTTTCTACAATCTTAATTTTAAAAGCAGCTGGACTTATCTTCTATTTTTAAAATCAGATATTTATCTCTAGTCTTCATGACATACCACAAATATCTGTGGGGTCCTACTGAAAAGAACAAAATAAAGGCTCTCAAGGGGTCGTTCTGTCTCCACACCATCCAACCTGGCACTTCTCTTCCCATATAGCCATTGGATTTTTTTTTTTTCCTAAACAAAGTTTTTATACTGAGCAGATGCTCTGTCATGATTGCGATTGTGCAATTCTGGTATCCTGTAAACTTGTAAGCATTCATAAAACAGGAAAAAGTAAACTCTCAGTCGGAAGCACAGCCCATTCCTCCCATTTTTCGCAATAACGAGTGGATGTTATTTTAAACAGTGTGTCTGTGTGTTCCCAAATCCAGCTGGTCCCCCTGGCTCCGATTCCATATTTGAGCATCAGCTGATTGAGAGAAGGGGAATGAGGAGAGCTGGATGAGTTTAAATAACTTTGGTTCATTGTTCAGATTGCTGAACAGGAGATGGGATAAGGCCCGTCTCCTTTCCCATTCTTTCTTCCCCCTTCACTGTGAAAAATAACAGTCCACCCCCAAGTCATACACTGGATCCAGGGCCTGCGGGGACAGGACTGTGGGTTTTTTGGTCACACCTGTGTTGGTGCTCAATGCAGTGTAGACATGTTTTCAAATAAAACACATGATTGTATACAACAGTGAGTCAGACCTTTGTTGAAGTCGGGCCACACTTAGGAACATCTCCAGATAAGATTACAACTTAGGTAAAGAATTCCACAGGGAGAAAATGCACCTGCACCTTTCAGGTAAGTCTGCCAAAGTAGAGAGGTCAAGCGGAAGCATGGGCTGGGGAGACACGTGGCACATGGGGGCTTTCACCCACTCTGGTCCCGAAGTGTTTAATGAGGTTTTGTTTGATTCTTAATTTCTCAGCCCCGGAGAGGAAAACCAGGTGTGGGAGCAGTTTCAGCTTGCTTCTGCCAGTCCTCCCTAGAAATCTCACCTCAGGAGAGGTGAATTCATGTTGCTGGGATGCCCCACAGCTCCTGGCTCACCCTGACCCTGTCTGGAGATTGCCTTGACCGCTGCTGGGTGGGTGCTGCTGATCTGCTCTTCCCGACCCCACCTCACTGCTCCATGCGTATTTCATCCTCCTGATGCGGGTCCCTTCCCTGACAACTCTGTCCCTACTTGGAAGGGTTGGGTTCTAGGAGCAAGAGAGCAGTTAGCCCCATGACTTCCTCAAAATACATACTCACTTTTGTTAAATCACGATTGTTGAATTTGGACTGGATCCAGTGGCTCATGCCTGTAATCCCAACACTTGGGGAGGCTGAGGCAGGCGGATCACCTGAGGTCAGGAGTTCGAGACCAGCCTGAGCAGCATGACCCTGTGTCTACTAAAAATACAAAATTAGCCAGGCATAGTGGTGCATGCCTGTAATCCCAGCTACTCCGGAGGGTGAGACAGGAGAATCACTTGAGCCCTGGAGGCCAAGGTTGCAGTGAGTCGAGATTGTGCTATTGCACTCCAGCCTGGGCAACAAGAGTGAAACTCCATCTCAAAAAAAAAAAAAGAGTTGAATTTGTCCGTTGTCAGAAATCCTGGATGCTCATTTGAGTTCCAAGCAAGGAACAACATTTTATGCCTGTAGTCCCAGCTATTCAGGAGGCTGAAGTGGGAGGATCGTTTGAGCCCAGGAGTTCAAGATCATCCTGGGCAACAAAGGGTTCCCGTCCCATTCTACTCCTCTACACCTGTAACCCTTCAGGCAAATCATTTAACTTCTTCGGGCTGCAGTTTCTTCCAAGAAGTTCCATAAGATTGTCAGAAAGCATCCGTTTTCTAGCAGAAAACTGCGTCTACCTAGTCCAACAGATTGAAAGAGAACGGACCCTTAGCTATGTTACACGTAAATTTACATTCCATTACAGGCCACCCCCAGGAGATGACTAGCAACTGGTGGAGCTGCCAAGGTCCTGGAAGTTTAGGGAAACAACTCTATCAAAGATGTCTGGGAGCGGGCGGGGCTGAAGTTAGACCTTTGCGTGATATAAAGGCCTTGTGTTTAACCCCTATTTTTCCCCTCTCACCCTGGAGAACCAGTTGAAAACCAGAGCTTAGTTCTGCTTCATGTGCCACCTTCAAGGCTTGGCTTTCGTGAACAGCAAAGAGCAAAGAACTATTAATCCCTCATTGTCTCTTTTAATTCAGATTTATTTAGTATTCAGGGCATGGGGCAGTTTGTGGCATGCTTTGATTGGGGAATGATGCTTATTCTGATATTAAAACTTGCTGGCAGGGCGCGGTGGCTTGCATCTATAATACCAGCACTTTGGAAGGCCAAAACAGGCAGATCACGAGGTCAGGAGTTCAAGACCAGCCTGGCCAGCATGGTAAAATCCTGTCTCTACTAAAAATACAAAAAATTAGCCAGGCATGGTGTTGCATGCTTGTGGTTCACCCACTCCAGAGGCTGAGGCAGGAGAATTGCTTGAATCCAGCAGGTGGAGGTTACAGTGAGCCGAGATCGTGCCACTGCACTCCAGCCTGGGCAACAGAGCAAGACTCCCATCTCGGGGGGGGGGAGGTAAAAACCCACTTTTGCTAGTTATAAGTCCATTGAAAATGGAGGAAGAATTTTCCCAAAATATCCGCGTGTTAACACATACACTGAAAGTAGAGTTGTCTCTTGCTTTTTCTGAAGCTTACAATCAGGTTAGAACATAGAATAGATCCCGGGTTTTTCGATTCAGTTAATATAAATGATGTAAGCATGATTATTGGTCAACAGTGCAGAATGAATCCAAAATCACGCCCGCTGGTGTGAATGGGAGCTTTTTTTGGCTCAAGGGCCAGGCATACAGATACCTGCTGCAGGCAGAGCCAGCTCGAAAGCACGGAACATGATTCCTCAGCACTTTTTCTTACTCTGAGATTATTTTATCAGATGCTGACTCAAAGCGCCGTGTGTTCTATTTCTGCATCGAGGGCTCGGGGCCATAGTACAGACAGTCCTATGCGTGGTTCTGAGACCTTGTTCCTTCCAGTTTTTCCTTCCTACCTCCTTCTCTACTGCCGCCTCTGCCTTTCCACTGATACAAATCTTTGAGAAAATGATCACGTGCCAGTCACATGGGGGTGATCAGCAAATGTTTCTGAAGTGACAGCTTCCCTCTGGCTGCTGCTGAAGTAGTCAAAGAGGCTGTCTGAATATGTGCTTGAATAAAGCACTTACAGAGCTCCACATGTAACCTCAGGAAGGTGTGCACATGTCCTGACCGAAGGAGGAGGTGGACCCTTTTGCTTCCATTCCCATGCATCCCCAGAGCCTCTAGGTGAAACAACTGGATCTGTGGATGGCCCAGGGCACACTGGAAACTGGATACATGGTATGGATGCCTGGCCAGCCAGATCCAGAAACAGAAGACACTCCCTTAGGTGTAACTGCTGAAGAACTCATGGGACAGGAGTAATCTGTTCATTTATTTATTATTCAAACATTTATGTTCAGGCCCGTCCTGGGTGCTGGGAGTCCATAGTGAGTGAAACTGACATCAATTCCTGCCCACATAGAACTTACATTCTTTTTTTTTTTTTTTTTTTTTTTGAGACGGAGTTTCGCTCTTGTTACCCAGGCTGGAGTGCAATGGCACGATCTCGGCTCACCGCAACCTCCGCCTCCTGGGTTCAGGCAATTCTCCTGCCTCAGCCTCCTGAGTAGCTGGGATTACAGGCACGTGCCACCATGCCCAGCTAATTTTTTGTATTTTTAGTAGAGACGGGGTTTCACCATGTTGACCAGGATGGTCTCGATCTCTTGACCTTGTGATCCACCCGCCTCGGCCTCCCAAAGTGCTGGGATTACAGGCTTGAGCCACCATGCCCGGCAGAACTTACATTCTTATGCTGGAGACAGACTACAAAATATAAGTAAATCGTAGAGTGTGAAAATGAGAGACCATGGAGAAAACCACAGCAGGGAAAGGAAGTTCAAGTTTGGAGGAGCTTCAGCAAGGAGGCTGAGGTGGGAGAAGGTCTCCCTGAGAGTCAAGCCACGTTCCTGAAGAGGCAGGGTGAGGAGTGATCCTGATGGGTACTTGAGGGAAAAGTGTTCTTGCCAAAAGGCACAGCAAAGGCATGAGGCAGGGCACCGTTTGGCATGTTTTAGGATATACAGGGAAACTCAGAAGGCTGGAGCAGTCAGCGCAGGGGGCTGTGGTAGGAGATGAAGTCAGAGAGTTGGAGCCCCCTTGGAAATGGGGAGCCATGGGAAGGTTTCGAGCAGAGGAGTGACATGATCTGACTTAATGTTTATCTTTTGAGATGGAGCCTTGTCCTTGTTACCCAGGCTGGAGTGCTATGGTGTGATCTCGGCTCAGCACAACCTCTGCCTCCCAGGTTCAAGCGATTCTCCTTCCTCAGCTGAGGTTACAGGCATACGCCACCACTCCCAGCTATTTTTTTTTTTAAATTTAGTAGAGACCAGGTTTCTTCATGTTGGTCAGGCTGGTCTTGAACTCTTGACCTCAGGTGACCCGCCTACCATGGCCTCCCAAAGTGCTGAGATTATAGGCAGGAGCCACTGTGCCCCGCCCCTGACTTACATTAAAAAAAAAAAAAAAAAAAAATCTTCAGTTCTGGTTGGGAACTGGCCAGTGTGAGAATGCAAGCAAGAGATGATGGAGGTTCGGACCAGGATGATAGCAGCGGACGTGGTGTAAAGTGGTCGGGTTCCCGTGGTATTTCGAGTGAAGTCAACACAATTATCTGATAGATTGGTTGTTGGATATGAGAAAAATGAGAGGGTCAAGATAACACCAAGGATTTTGACTTGAGCAACTGGGTGGAGTTGCCATCAGTTAATAGGACACGGCTGTGGTTGCTGCAGGCTTGAGAGGCAGAGCTAGAGTTCTGTGTGAAACATGCAGAGTTTGAGCTGTGTGCAGATATCCATCTTGAGGTCTGAAGCAGGCAGGTGGGCACGTGAGTCTAGATCTTAAATGACAGATGACAGGCGACATAATTTGGGAGTTGCTAGAACCTAACCACCATGATGCTGATGAGCTCGCCATGGCCATAAGTATAAATAAAAAAAACGCAAGTCCAAGAACTGAGCTCTGGTGTACCTCAGGGTTAAGAGTCAGGGATATGCAGAGAGATCACCAAAGGAGTCCTTCACCGTGGATTGGATGAAATGCATTTCAGGAGTAGCCATTCCTGTTCTCTTCTGTACCGTCTAACAGGCTTCTGGTTAATAATCCATCTCCCTAAGTAGCTTAATACTGGAACATGGGTGCCCTGGATAATAGGCACAAATATTCCCACCACTGGAAAAGAATATTATTAGTCGAAAATTACTAACTTGGCATTTGGGATTATAATCAGTTTCTCATGAGTTAATTGGCATGAGTTAGGTCCTAGGACCTGCTCAACCCTGGAGACCGTTATGCAATTAGGATTTTAAAACCATAAATCTGCAGGCCTGAATGATGACCATATCAAAATACTCCTGCGTGTGGAGTGTCCAACTCTTTCCTAGACAGCACTCATTGTACGTCCCAACCATAATGGTTCCTAAGTGACCTCTCAGTTTACCATCATCCGCTGCACTGAATTTCTCTGATCACGCTTCCAAATGACCTCCTGTTTGTCAATTCCAGGGCCGCTTCTGGGTCTTGTCTTCGTTCACCCT